GAGGTGGAGGGTAGAAGTGAATGGTAGAAATTACTAGACACAGAAATAGGCAATGAATAGAGACTTCAGTGAATGCACCCAAAAGCAACCCACTGCAGAGCTCTACTCTTGAAAATAAAAATAAAATAAAAATCACTGATGGAAGGGAGTTGAGAAGCCTCTGTTCAGGACACTGGGTCATGGGGGGGGAAAAAAAAATCTCCTTTGAAGGACAAAAATATCTTTGGCTTCTATCACATGCCAGTATGTTTGATTAGCATTATCCATTTGTTATACTACTCTAGGAGCCAAAAATTAACAACTATGTTTGATACTACCAAGGTCTCTTGAAAAAGGCCAACAAAGAAATTGTTCCAGAAGAACATTTGAACAGACTTCATGGAATTTCCACTGAAATGAGCTCATAATAAAATCCACTGTGCATGAGAATCAGCAGAATCAACAAAAGGTTTAGGAAACACCAAGGACTTGAGATAACAGAACAAACTGAAACTATGAGTTTAAAAGGCTGAAAGATTTAAAACAAAAATAAGAAATGAAAAGAATAAAGAATCTATAAAAAAGAACAAGCATCTATTGCAAACAATATAGGTAAACTCATCTGAAATACAATATGATGGTGAATAAAAATGTTATTATTTTCTTTTGTAAAGAATTAGTAATTTGGTCAAGAAATTATGCCAACTTGAAAAAAAAGAAACAAGTGGAAGACATAGAGGTTAGAATAAAAATGGTCAGTCGGTCCCACTGAACTTCTAGAAGAAATACAAAGAATGAAAAACAAGCACCATTCAAAGAGATAATTTCATTATTGACCACTATTCAAAGAGAAAGAATTTTCCAGATTTCATGAAAGACATACTAAAGTTGACAAACAGGCTTAGCAAAAATAAAAATAAATCTAAATAAATCAAAATGAATTCCAGAATGAGACACAAAGAGAAAAGCACAAAAATAGAAACTATGCAAAGAGAGACTATGCAAATGAGAATTATGCTCACAGCAAACCTCTTCTTAAAAAAGTAGAGCTGGAAGATACTAAGATATTATCAAAGTGTTATAATTCTATGCCCAACTAATTAGTTTTCAAAACTGTGGATGAAATAAAGGTAAAAGATACCACTACCTACTTAAAAAAAAATCAAAGGACATATTAACAGATCAATAAGAAAGAAACTAAACTTGGAGGGAAGGAGTAATAGTCAAAAGTAACAATGACAGATTGGGAAACCTGTGAGTATTAACTACTAAATCATTCAACTTTGAGGGGAATGATTTTTTAAAAGATGATACTAAAATAATAACGATATTATGAAAGACAAAAGTTGCATGGAATTAAAGCTTTCTAAGTTTCCGATATTATTCAGAAGAATAGAAATAATGACTTTGTTAAGTCACACATGCATGTTAAACATGTAAAAGTAAGTAATCATAAAAATAGTAGTAACAAAATGTATAACTCCCTAATCAACAAAGAGAAATAAAAATTCAGAAAGCGGGTAACACTAAAATACAAACAGAAAAAAGAAAAGTCATGGAATATAAAGAACATAAAATACAATGATAAAATAAATTCAAACACATCAGTAATCTGTTTGGTTAAAGTTTGAAATCTTCAATTGAATGTATTTAAATTAAACTCTTCACCCAAAATTGGTGCCTACACATCCTTCCCAAGCATGCAAGAAATATTTTAAAAATCTGACCACTTACTAGACACAGAAGAAGTCTCAATCAAACCCCAAGAATTCTTATCAAATCCTGCACAATGAGGCAAGGTGTCCCACATCTGTCTGCCAGGTGATTCCTTGTGATTTCATTTACTGAATGATTCCAAGTTCACTGAAATTGTCTAGAGCATGTCCTGTCCCCTGCAAGTGCTGACTAGCTTGCTGGTTATTATTTGTGTCTAGCATGCAAAGAGTGCTCAAAACTTTTGGAAGAATGGAATTATTATTGAGTGGAAGCACTTAAGTCATCTTTAAAATTTCAAACTGAGGGCAACCATTTTCCACCTTTTGAGATGTACCACCATAGGGAGAGTTGAATAATAAAAGAAATACATGAATAAATGGGGCGCCAACAAAAAATGTTTAGAGCATGCACAAATGGAGGGGGGTGTTGTGTATTCCAGTGCATGGTCCATAGCATGAACAGGCACAGAAAACAAGCAAGTAAGCTAAGGCTCATCAGAAGCTGGTTAACCCACAACTCCAGATGGTTTAATATTGTTTACTTTTATCACTTGGCTCGTCCATCAGTAAGTGACTTTTTCAAGGAATACTTCCACTAATGCAAAAAGAACTAGAAGAAGAAACAGTGTCTTCTCAATTGTCTTTTCTTCCAGGGGTTACTGCCATGGGTGGGACCACTAGCTTGGACACAGGAATGGGCCAGGAGGAAAGACTCCGTGTCACATGAAAGAGTAAGACAACTGGAGACAAAGCCTACCTTGTTATTAAAGCAGAAAGTAACACTGTCAGATTTGGCAGCTGTAGGAGCGATATTAGAAAAGGGAGAGGCCAGAAGCAGTGTGTGCTTTCACTGCAGTGATTGCATAGTGTCAGCCTTTAATGTTCATTTGCGAGGAGACTGGAGAACGGATGGGTAGAATAGAGAAACTACTAGTTTTTAATTGAGATCAAACTGATCCATTTAAAGTATACAGTGAAGTGGCATTTAGTACATATACAAACTGTCACAAAACTATCCCCTATCTAGTTCTAAAACATTTTCATGATTCCCAAAGAAACTCACGCACCCACTAGGTGGTCCTCTATCTCCAGCCCCTGGAAATCAAAATCTGTTTTCTGTCTCTATGGATTTACCTAGCCTGGATACTTCCTATAAACTGGATCATTCAACACATCTAGCTTCTTTTACTTAGCATTATTTTTGAGGTTCATTCGGGTATCGGGTGAAAAAAAAAAGAAGACTGTAAAAGCAGGACAGCAGAAGGCAGGCACATGCCCAAAGCAGGCAACTGAATGAGAAGCACGAGAAACAATAAATTGCCACTGTTTATGTTGGGCAATTAAAAAGGCAGTGGCACCACTGACCAATGGGAAAGACAGAGGAGGTGCAGACGGGCAAGGGTGGGAGCTGTTTGGGGGCACACTGAGTTTGAAGTGCTAGGAGAAATTCATACTGGAGAAGTCCAGCATTCGGCTGAAAACACAGCTTGCAGCTGAAGAAAAGTCCCAGCGGCACTAGAGATGAAGGGGTGCAGGTCTGTGTGCCGAGGGGCACGCGTGCATCTGCAACTACCCCCTGTCATAGAAACACACACACAATATCGCCTTTTGCAGAATGTGACACATCCATTTGCAAAACTTACATGGTGAACACTAATGAGCAACACTCGGGAGAGCAAAAATATGATCTTCACCCTACAGCAAAATTCATAGCCTATTTTGTTCTGCCTTTGGTCAAAAGAACCCATGCATGAAGGCCACAGCTGGCACTCTCCAATAACTATACCCTTGGCCACCTCTGAGCCCTGTGCCACGTGGTCAAGGCTCAGCGCTGCAGCAGCCTGCCAGCACCAACTATGTTGGACTAGCACTTTACAATTCATTCAGACAACAGCTCAACAACTCATTTAGAAATCTGTTATAAATATATAGTCCTACCAGTTTTGATTGCAACTCTGGAGGTTAAAGAAAAGTACTGTGGGCCCTCCCTGGTGGCGCAGCGGGTTAAAGCACTGCACTAAGAGGCTTAAGCCACTTCCGCATGAGTTTGATCCCCGCTTGCCCAGGAGGAGATCCACATGGCCTGGCAGACCTCTCCTGACCCGCCCGCTGCTCCCCTCAGCAGTGTACTTCCTCAATCTGCCTGTTCTGCTCCCCACTCTGTCCCTGGTGAATCCTCACACCCTCCGCATCTATGGCCTATACCCCAGTTCTGTATGAATAAATAAATCTTAAAAAAAAAAAAAAGTACTGTGTCCCAAGTGAACATTCCTTTAGAGTATTTTAACCCCCCAAAGGAAGGAAGGAGACCCCCTCTACCTCCCTCCCACATTCAGTTGGACCCAGCATCACAGCTCTCTAAAGGTCTTTGTCCGGCCATATCAGTAATCATTTCTTTTCCCATAGGGCTATTTATTTGCTTTATATCCTGTGCCAACCTGACCTGTAAATACCTTGAATACAGCCCTTTACTGCTATATATTGAGATATCTGCAAAACCAAGGCCTAGTACAAAGCCTGAATTATAAGTGGGAGAATGGACCATTGGGTGGATGGGAAAAGACTGTGTGACTCAGGAAAGTTATCCAAAGGAAAGATGAGCTATTGAATAAGGTTGTTAGTAGGTAATATGATAGTTTCAGCCATCATTTTAAAGCTTCCCAATACTTTTTCATTTCATTAATACATAGGGTATTTTCCTAAATCATATTCCGCTTTAATCTTATACTGGAAGTCAACAACAGAACAGTATGCAACTGAAAATAATGACATACATATATTCATTTTCTAGACCATTTTACTAAAATACATTCATTCCCCAAATTTTTTTTAAAATAAGTATAGGTAGAACACACAGTTAATCTGTTCAGACAGGTCTAACAGACAACCCTAAAACACTTCCCAGCTCACTGGAAGAAAAAAACCCTCAAGATAAAGCTCCTGCTTAATTTTATGTTCTAGTAATACCATATCCCATTTGGACATAAAAAAGGGATTAATAACCAGCTTATCTAAAAGGAAATTATATTTTAAAAAATTAGACAAGAATTCAACAAGACTTCTGTAAAGATTCAGAAAGAAAATATTTTAGGCTTTGTAAGCAACATACAGTCTTTGCCTACAGTCTTCCTTGCTTTTGTAGGTTTGTTTTTGCATGGTTATTATTGTTCTTTATAAGGCCATACAAAATGCTAAAACCATTCTTCCGTCCCAGGTCACATAGAGAATCTATGGTTTGCCCACTTGGAGTCTTATGTTCCTACCAGTTAAACCCCAGGGAGAAACGCCCAGAGATCTCTGGATTACCTCTTTTAGTCTCTCCAGCTCATTCTGAAGGGCCTGTTTGGAGATTTCCACTTCAATCATCTGCTGTCGGAGAGTTTCATTTTCATCTTCGGCTTTAGCCCGCTTTTCTTCCACAGTTTCAAGTTCATGGTGCAGTCTGACAGATACATCTTTGGCTACCTGTATCAACCCACAGAGAAAGTCATGAGGATGTACTTTTCCTGGACTGAGAAAACGTTCAAACAACTACAGAAGCAGAATCACTAACATGGTAACACACAAAAGAGCAAAAACCCTTGCATTATTAGTTTAAAACATGAAAGCTATGACTTTCATCTGACTAGAAGATCACTCTAGGTAATGTGCACCTTTCCGGTTGTACATGCCTTAAATGATAAATTAGAAATAATAATAATAAAATAAGCATTACTTGTGTAAAGGTAATACTAGGCCTATCTGCTAAAAAATAAAATAATTCTGCAGAAAGCAGGTGTTAATATAGCCAAGTTATAAATTGTCACCTATGTGAAAATGTGAATGTTATAAGCAGCTAAACGTTTTTATTTTCTAAAAGGAAATGAGGAAAGTAATTTTGCAAGAAAAATATAAATCACTCTTCTATCACAATGCATGACATTTTCTTAGCGGTTTATAAATTTGATAGAATTACAAAGATCCTTTTCCTGTAATAATGAAAGGCTGAATGAGATTTCATAAGTACTCCCATAATAAGGAGGACACTATGCATAATAAATGCATCGCTAGATAAATGATTTGATAATCGAGGCATGAGAGAAGCTGTGCTGCCCATGGAGACAGTAAATGGTACAAAGTCTGGGATTTCTTCATCTCATTCTCATTTCTGTCAATGGTTCTCAAAGACACTTCAGACAATTAGTTCTGACCCTCAGTCTCCTTCAGTTAAATCACCACTGCACATTCTCACTTGGATTATAGTCATTTCAGGTTTTCTGCACCCTAGAAACTATATAAATATAAAAATGTTTAGTAATTATGGTCAACTTTAGCAGTAGTCTTTGACTATAACAGCATTGATAACTGGTATTTTTAACAAACCATGTCAGATCTTTAGAAAAAGTCTCTGTACAATGTCTATACAATTGCCAAACTAATTGGCAGGTGTTAATTCTTTTTCTCTGTTGATCCATGACTATGACTTCTTTTCTCTTTTCTTCTTTTTTTTTTGGTAGATTTTAAAAGTCCAGTTCAGATGACAGACTTAGATCTTTACCCATTAAAGTCACACAACTACACATACCCTGTAAGTCACAAAGTAAACAAAGACTGTTTACGCTGAAGCTTGTTGAGGGAGATTCACAAAGAGAAGATGAGGATGATGTGAGTGAGAACAAGGTCCGAGGCCTGCTTTTTCAGATTGGTGACCCTTTCTGGGAATGTGCATCCCACAGCCCTATTCACTCACCTTCAAGTCCTGCTCCAGACTTCGGATAAGCTCGCCATCCACCTGACCGGTCTCAGCTACTTTCAAGCTTTTCTGCTCAGCTTTTCTAAGGCGGTACTGTAAAATTCGGCAGTTTTTATTAGCACGGTCCAATTCTCGCCGTAGCTCCTGCAGCTGGTAAACATCTTCTTCCAAATAGCTGTCTCTCATCTCTTCCATTTCAGCACGGAGTTCATCCAACTCATCCTACACAAGCCAAGAGGACTAGATTGATAAGCCGAGTCCATCTAAAAGGGTGGTGTCTTCTCTCCACCCCTACCCCAACACACCCAATATGAACCTGCACAGAAACCATCTGCTTGGGCCAACCTGTCTCAGAGGGCGTAGAGTTTCTGGAAAATCTTACCTTAAGACAGTATCACCAGATGTCTGTTTAAATCTTATGGTTACAGAAATCAAAACCATTCTAGATTATTATGTTTTTCAGCATGCATTGTACTCCCAATATTTCCTTATATAATCAAATCTGAAGATAATTAAGTCTTTACAATCAAACCAAACATTGGCTATTTCTAAAGCACAATCTAGGTACTAAAATGAGTCAGACAGACCCTGCCTTCAAAGAACATAAACTTTAGTGGGATTGTAACTGTGAATTGCCATGAAATTATAACATGCTTGCAATGTCCCTAAAATTCTGTTCCACAACAGAAATCTCAGCATTCACTATGTGACTCACAATTCTAAAGATAACCCCTTTTGCATCATTTCAAATACACATCAGGTTTGGTTTTTTCCATCCACTGATCCTTCTCCATTCTATTCTGGCATCAGCAAGAAGACACTCTGGATGCAGAAAAAAAATTCTAGAGTTAACCTTGGGGCTCTCCTAGTTCCTCCCCCTTCCACACACAGCCCAGTGCTGTCAGCTACATTCCCAGCACCTCTACATCATTCCACTAGCCCAAGTCCCCACCCCTCTCAAGGCAGCAATGGCATATACAGCTCATTTCATCACTGGGGTCCCTGATTCTCCCTTTCATCTTCTATAGTCATGAAAGAAGTCTCACTCTGTACCCAGAGAGTGCACCCTTTAATATGAAACTCAGACCACCTTCCTTCCCCTAACTGAACCCTCTAGGGGTTCCCATCACATTGAGAAAATGATCTGAAGTCCTCACCAGGGCCTCCAGGGGTTCCTTGCCACATGGCTGCTCTCATCGGACCAGGGCACTCCAGGTCTTTCACCTGCTTTGCCTTCTTCTTAAATGCTCCTTCTCAGCTGTCTGCCAAGTTCATGGCCACAGTCACAAAATCTGGAAGGCATACAATGCCTTTTCTGACCACCCTTCCCTCCTCCAACCCTCTATTCCTTGACTTGCTTTGTTTTCTTTTTACCTCGTATCACCAGCTAATAATATTTGTGCTTCTTCCTATATATTAAGGGTAGCCCACACTAAATGGTATCCCCATTGAGTGTCTCACTCCTTTCTGTCACGCTGAAGGCCTTTACTAAATATTTGTGGATTGAATACCCATGAAGACCAGTCAACACCTAGAAAGTCAAAGCTCAAAGGCAGCAAAGTTGGACACAACAGCACCTTTACTATGCTACCGACTCATAGCCTAATTATGACAATTTCTCCCCAAAGCCATAGGCATCGCTGGAGTATTTCAGATATGAACTCTGCTGATGTATTACAAAATATTTTACAGAGGAATAGTTTGTTTGGAAGAAAGCAAATGAAGGACAGCATTCTAGGAATTGTCTTTATTAATTTGATAACTGATGGCTTCATGTGCATCCAGAATAGGATTCACAAAGTCATCCCCATTTATTTTGTTCAATTAATAAATATTGAGACTCAAGGAAAAAAAATCTCTTTTAAACTCTTGACACCCTTGTCAGCTCTCCTCTTGCTATTTAGTTTGCTCCTGCTACTGGATCAAGTACAGGAGTCAGTCAGTTGAGAAACATGAACAGAATGGATGGGTTTGGCTTTTCATGGGATAGGAAAACACAGCTATTTTGGGGAGAGCTGTAACTGCAACAAAGAAGAGGTTGTTCCTGGTGCCTAGTCCCCATACCAAGACTGTGAGGATGCTGTGTGAGAGCTTTGTCTCTTACCCAAATCATCAGGGTCAAGCCCAACTAGAAGAGATCAAGCATAGGCCCCAAGCTAAAAAGGCCTTGTGGATGGAAAACTAATCCTGAGTCTTCAAAATCGAAGTCAAGTTTCAATCATGTTCCACCTGTGAATGTGATAGATCTGACTATGGGAATGGCCTAACCTCCATAATTACACCTGAGTACAATTAAAAGGTAGTTGTTTCAATGGGTAACTAATAAAAAATAGTTTAATGCAAGCAATAATCACTAGATGTGTATTCATACATACAAATATATATAGCAGACCTAAGGCTCAGTGACTTTGGGCATTCTGTTCAAGAAAGGAAATATTTCCTACTAGAAAACTTGTCCATAAAAGCCAAGTCACTATGGCCTGTAACTGAGGCAATAGTTCACTCATAAGTTTTTAAAATGTGAGGTAGCCATAAGAAGTTACAAGACACAACTTTCACCCATAAAAATAATATGTAGCTTTCACTTTGCTACAGTAGGCCTTCATCAAACTAATGGTTAAAAAAAAAAAGTGTTAATGTCAAGTGAACCTATACCTCCAAATAGCTGAGCAGTCAAGAAGTAAAAATTTAATATTTTGGCATAAATATTCAGCAACATTAGTTGCACTGGAAAGAAAATCGGAGAGACATAATTGCATGTATTTATTTGAACCATTACTTCTATAATTGATGTTTTATCTGTAGACCAGGACATCTTTTATTAAGCACTTTACCTTCACTGCTAGCCCTATAATAACTCTCCCGGGAATATATGATCCCCATTTAATAGACAAGGAAATCAAAGCCAGTCTGACTGATCTGTCCAGAGCTTCATAACTATCAAGTGGAATCTACACTGCAAACCCAGGTGTCTGGTTCCAAGCACACACTCTTTCCAATAAATAGTATAAATTATTTGCTACAACCATAGGACTTAAATTATACTTTTAAGAGCCCACCATCAGCACAAAATAATAAAAGCTGGGTAATAAAAGCTGACCATATCCACACTGCAACTGGTGTCCAGGAAAAGAAACATTGCATTGTGCAGCAAAGACATCAAAACCCCAGTTTCAAAATGAGTAAGTTGAGACTCTCACAATTTAAATGGTTTCCCAACAACAATTTATTTTTTGAAGATGGAAAAAGGCCAGTGTTTCCACTCTTTTCATAAAACCTTAAAAGAAGCAATTTTCAGGTTCAGTAAAAAGAACTTACAAGAAAAGCAAATTATAAACCATGTAAACTGGCAGCAGATGTTTGAAAAGTGAAAACTGTGATTATTTGGATTAGAGTCATGAAGGACAGCTATTTTCAAACTAACATTACATTAATTTTCTGACAGCATGCTCTAGTTTAGAAAACACTGTATTAAAGAACCTTAAAGATATCTGCATTTAAATATTTACAAAAACCAAATCAAGCAAAACATATGATGTTTCTGTCAGATATAACTGAGGCACAGTAAGTAAAAGTGGAAAATTGCTGTTGTGTTTTTTTACATAAAATTTATAAGAACAAAAATTACCCTTAACCTTTGCAAGAACATGGTCCTAGAAGATATTATGCTCAGTGTAACCAATCAGATGGAAAAAGACAAAAGCCGTATGATTTCCTCATGTGCAGTAGAAAAACAAAACAAATGCACTACAAAACAAAACAAAAACAAAGTCTTGGACTACAGGAGCAACACTGTAGAATGGAAGTAGAAAGAGTGGGGTGGGTAATTTGGGTAACTTGGGTCAGTTGTATGGGGTTGAAATGAAATTAGGTATTTGGTGATGAACATGACAATGTGTGCGTGTGTGTCTATGTATATATATATAAAATGCCCTTAAGTAACAATTATATACTGAATTCTCCTGAGGTCTGTCAGATATTTAGACTTTAGATTACTATCTCATTGAAAAGCCAAACTAGCTTTAATTCAATATATAATGAAATCTTGAAATCATATAAACCTAAAAAGGATGATGATTTCCCTTTACCTGCAGATAACAAATCATACCTTCTATTTACGAAACTGGAGGGAGGAACAATGAGTACTCTGCACTAGATTAGATGAAAATGAAATGTTTCAAACCTCTATAAGCATAGTTTTAGCCACACATATAAACAACTGAGTTTATGGTTTCTTGTTAGATGTGATGAAAACTCTATCACACTGATAATTTTATTCCAAACTTAACCTCTTTTAAACAACTGAAATCAATAACTGGTTTTAATAACCCCTCTTTAAGTAGATCCACTTTGGACAGTAGAAGCAGTCATTTGCTACTGTCACAATAATTCCATCTTCTGGGAGTTACAGACAGAAGCTATTGTCTGTTGTAATATACAAATAATCCACCTCATTTCCCTCTGGACAATGAAAATGTTCTCTGCAGAGTCCCAGCTGGAGCTAAGAAGAAGCAGGGGCTGCTGCCATTGTTTACCAAGTGACAGTTCTCCCAGCAGCTGGCTGGCTGCATTTGCCCTCGTCTACATTATCTTGCCACCTAAGATTATCACAGCCCTTCTTTCATGCTTTGAATAAAGAATGGATGTGGAAGGTGGAATGTCACGAAAGAATAGGAATACTGTCTACTTTAACCCTTCAAAAGGAAGGGAGAAGGAGCAGGGCTCTGGGAGGAAACGAAGAGCTAAGCACTTTAGTTCCTCAGACTGCTTATTCTTCCTTCAGAGGATCCTGTCAGTCCCAGGCTGGGAGCCCCCACCCCACTGCAGTCGCCCCTTAGGGCCCAGAATCCACAAAGCCAAATTCAGCAGAATCACTCAGAACTTGAAACTCAGAAACAGCCTCAGGTGAGAGGCAGAATGTAAGGCTGGATCAAGGCGATGCCCACAAGCTATAAAACTCAAGTGACCTGGCCAGGGACTTCCCTGAGGAAATTATTCCTCTCAAAGAATCCACCATTATCTTACAGCTGGAACTAACTTCTTTCATTTTAACCCAAAACAATTCTTATGAAATAACTCAGAAAGCAGAGCAGAACTAGGTAGCCTATCCCCCAGACCAACCTCACCCATCCTTTTGGAAAACACTATGGGGGTAGAGGGGAGAAGAATAGGGGTGGTGGAAAGAGATATTACAAGTGCATCCCTAGTAACAATAAACACATGTTCAAAATAGGCCAATAATCATGAAGTGATTAAATCCTTCTGAATGCCTGTGGAAACAGAGAACATAATTAATATGTTCACAATGAGCACTAAAGCTCATCTGATTGTCTCAGAGCACCGGAGCAAAACACAGTTGTGGCAGGCAGCAGGCAAAATACCAGCATCATTTCGTACAAGTTCTCATCATTAAGAAACATGACTGAGTTTGGTTTGGAAAAGCAAAAGTCTTTGGATAACTGTATGCAACTGCTCGCCTTAATTCCTAAAGTTCATCAGAGGTAGGGAGACTGCCCGGGGTTTCAGGCAAAACCAGCTACACCGATTGAGTAAACCTACATTTTTCTTATAGTCTCTCTGGTGCCCTTTAATGCAGGTAGAGAAGAGCAGACAGTAAGGTCAGGGAGGCCCAGCACAGACCCACACAGCACAACAGAAGTCAGGCACTTCTCTCATGCCATTTGCTATTTTAAAAAATCCAGCAATCTGGCTAAAAAACAAGAAGAGAATTCCACTTGAATTTTATGATCAACAAAATTGGTAGTATAGGCCATTTTTCTGTTTGGTTATGTTTAGGTCATTTTAGCTCAGAAATAGTGACAGTCCTTTACAGCAGTGGTGACCAAACCGACTCAGGAAAGGACGCAATACTTCATGTGGTCACAGACCTCCAGAATATATCAAAGTACAGCATCTGGGCTGGGTCTCTTCTTGTTAGGGAACAGTAGGCAGATGCTATATCTAATGGGGAAAGTGCTGAGCAACATTCCCTAAGTGAGCAGTAGGTCAAGGGAGCCTCTTATTTACTAACTACTAAACAAAAAAAAGAGAACTTCTATTTATAATATACATACTCTATGTGCTCATGCCTCCTGCCTTTGCCCAGTGAAGTCACTGAAATTCAGAGTTGATTTCACGTAAGTGGGCAGCTCACTGACCTTTAGCAAAATCCACCAGGGCAGTAAGTCAGTAGGAGAAAGCCCAACACTTGATGATCTCTTTCATATGTGGCAAATAAAAAACAAAGCAAAGGAAAAGTCATTTACAGAACAAAATGAACATTTGAAAATTGACTGCAGGGCTGGAGCTACCAGAATGGCAGGGCTGAGAGTGGGAGCGAAGGGGGGAGGAAGTAAACTCAATGGATTTCCATGGAGGATCACCCCAACTTTGGCAGTAGGTGTGGTGTGTTAACTTACACTTGTGGAGCTGTGATCCTACACCCCTAAAACATATATAATGTTGTAAAGCAATGTCCCCTCCATAAAAATCACTTTAAAAAATAGTCTAGCAGGGTGGTTGTGTTTATTTTCCAAAATGAACAATTGCAATTTAAGCCTTTGAGTTAGCAAACATGCAATTCACACATGTATCTCCAATTGTTGAGTATTGCTGCCTCCTTAGGCCCCTCTACCATTTCTCTCTCCTGCTGTTGTGGGAATGACTGGGGGGGGGGGACCCTGGCGTAGTAAGTGGGCATGATATGTGCTTCCCAGGCAACAGCAACTGAACACTTCCCACAAGAGAAACACCACCAGAGGATTTATTTGGCCATTTCATACACAGGCTAGTGAAGAAGTGTTCATTATCTCCCAATCACCTAAAAAGAAAACAGAGGTCCCTTAGGAGAGCTAAACACTTGGGAAAGTTTTGAGCTACTAAAACAACTCTACAGCAAGTGGTATATTCTGTGAAAAGCCGTCGTGGTGGAAATAGATATATAGCCTGGATGGGTAAAATAAGCAAAGGCTTTGAAGGCTGGGTAAATAGAAACTTTCACTAGCTGTATCACCTTGGGCAAGTCATTTAAACTTGCTGGATTCTCAGTCTCCTTGTAAAATTAGGGTTGTGATAAATATACAATTATAATGTTGTGAAAATTCATTGAAATATCAAATTAGGCTTAAGGTTAGATGCCCATTTTATTCACTGAGAACAGGAAAAGATAAAGCAAATGTCCAGTTACCTAGGAATGAATCCTGCAATGATGTCTAACTGCTTATCTTGAGATCAAAGATGTAATGAGAAAGATCTTAAAAACAAACAAACAAAACCCACATCTTTTGCTTAGCAGTTACAGTTGGGATAAATATCCCTCACTCTGCAATATTGTAGGTCAGGATTATGCTGAATTAGGGCTACAAAACTGAACAAGATTATCCTTCTCTCCTCAAGGAGGTTACATTTACTTGTTGAGATTTTAAAAAGCATTGCTTTCAGGGCAGAGTCACACACAACACGGTTGCTCTTTCTCTTCAAACCTTCTAATTCCCTCCTGTTGTCTCTTACATAAGAGCAGGTGACAAAAGCAAATGCACTATTTGAAATACCTCACACCCCCCACTCCGCTCACCACCCCACCCCCACCCCACCCCACCCCAGTCCCAGCCCGCTCCTTCTGCTCTTCTTTCTCCTCCTCTGCCTTGCTGATAGCTCTCTGCATACTCAAATAACCAACCACTTATCTCCTGATAAGAGGAGGTTTGGGCTCGGGAATAATCCTCAATTAACCTGATCAGAGAGGCAGAGGTCACTACCACTCACCTTACAGAAGCCCACACTTCAACCTGGTAGGTTCCTCATTTGCTGAGAGAATAGCACAGGCCACATAACCCACTGGCCTGGGGGGCTCTATTGCCACCTTACCAGAGACAGGAACGGACATACTCCACTGGAGCTATTTATTAACCAGAGGATTATAACCAACTAAAAGTTGCCCTCAACAAGCCCCTTATTTTCTCTCATCACCTGCATTGTCTTAAAGGTCCCCATTCTCCCCCCTCCCCACACACACACACACACTGTCTAAACCCTGCAGAGTCAGTCTTTCCCTCAGAAAAAAACATGGAGCCCGATGGAGAACCCCAAAGCTAACAAAACCAAGGGCCACCCTGTTCCCAGGCCCTGCCAGAGAAGGCTCTGAGACCGGGCAGCAGAGACTGCCATTCCCTCGAAAGTGCTCTGGCGGGTGGAAGGAATTAAGTGGCCTCTCCCCACAGGGAAAACGGGCTTCAGGAGGCTGGCAAAGGGGTGCCCAGAAAAACATGGTTGTCCTTCAATCCAGGCCACACTCACGGGACCTCTGAATTTAAGGTTTATCGCCTAAACAGCAAGGTCCCCTCGGCGTGTGCTGTGGTGCTCCCAAGGGACACACCGAGTGTGTCTGGCTCTGTAACTGCAGAAGTGCAGGCTGTGCGCAAGCTGAGCCAGTGCATCCACCGGAACTGACACCTCCCCAGCACGTGGCGGGACCTGCGCTCCCAGGTCAGAGATGCCGGCTCCCGAGCTGAGGAGGGCGAACTCGCATGAGGGTAGTGGGTACACATCATGATTCAAAACCTGACTCTAGACCCTCTTCCCAGTACATACCAGGCAAAGGCAGCGGAGAGAAACCAGACCTCTGGAAACAAGTAAAGCTAAGTGGGCTGATAGGCGGCAGCCAGGACCTAACAGGTCTTGTTCTTGCAGAAGTTACAGCTAAAGTTCCCAATACTCAACTTGCTCGGGGACAGGAAAAGGGGACAAGGAAGAAAGCGCTGGTCAACACATGTCCCACCCGCACTGAGACCCTCGGAGTCGCCTTCCTGACACCTGCTGTGTAGCCGGCTGCTCACCTTGAGATAGTCGTTCTCCGAGCGCAGCTCCTCCATCTCCCGCAGCAGCTCCTCCTCCTCGGCCGCCGCCACGGAGGGCACCAGACGGGGCTGCTCGCTAGGGCTGGGATCTTTGAGGGGGGTCCCGGAGAGCCCTCGCTCCGGCGGCGCACGTCCCCCGACATCCTCCACCACGCTGGGCCCCGAGGACCCCGCAGGAGCGCTGCCCAGGCTGCCCCAGCCCCCCGGACTAACGCAGACGGGCAGGGGCGCTGCGAGAAGCGCCGGGAGCTCTGGGCTGCCAGGCTGCGCCCCTCGGGCGGCGGGGTTCGTCGTGGGGGCTCCTCGCAGGGGTTCTCGGTCGCTGGAGCCTGTGCCGGACTCCGCATCGCTGCTGGCGGCTGGGAGCAGGCGCTGCTCGTCCGACAGGGGTTCGGAGGGGCAATCGGAGAGGTCCGAGCTGCTATCCGTGTGGCTGAAGCGCGAGCCGGGCGCCTGGCACCCGGCCGCTGAGGTCACGGCGAGGATCACGGCAGGAATCGGGGCGGCTGGGGCGGGGGTCCCCGCGGGCCGGGAGGGGGGAGCCCCCGAGCCACGTTTGGCTTTTCGGCCTTTGGCAGCAGCTGGCAATGACTCGACCCCCGGCGGAGGTGGCGGCGGCTTTCCGGCCCGGGGCAGCGGCTCGGTGGTGGCTGTTCGCGTCGCCCTCCTGGGACCCGGAGCGGCCTTGGTGTTGCCCGCTGCCCGGGCCCCGGAGCCTGGCGGCGGCTTGTCCTTCGC